ATATATATATATATATATATATATATTACTAATATATAAACTATATTATAACACATTTCTAGCATGTTTTTTAAAAAATTTAATTTCAAGTTTACAACTTATTAAAATACATATAAATTCTTTAAACTCCACTTTGATACTTCAATAAAAATTAATCGATAAACACCTTACAATACAATATAAGCATGGAGTTCAAGTAATACGTGACTATACCATATAAAATTGATAATGAACAGAAAACTTCCTCTCATCCTCATAATGTATAGAATAATTTGATTCCATTATTCTAACAAATTCGTTTAATGTTTTTATTATGATTTTTGATACAAAAACTGTCATCCAACTGATTGTTTATTACATTTTTGAAGACATTATATTTGTTAATACAATTCCACTAGATCATTTGTACAACATTTTAGACTACAGGTCGAGCTATACATTACAATTATTTTGAAACAAAGGGGTACATCATTCATGCATATTAAAAGTATCGTATACGCCATCCTAAAACTATCATGCACGCCATGCTAAACGTCATGCAGCCAGTCTTAAGTCCGTTGTTATAATTTACAAAATGTATCGTACACGCCATGCTGCATGTCACTCCGTCTTAGTTCGTTGTTTTAATTAACAAAACGTATCGCACACGGCATGCTAAGAGTGATGTATTTTGTAACACTCGAATTTCCTTTGGGGACTATTTTGATTAATCTCAAGGAGGAGACAAGCTCAACTTAAATACAAAAACAACATTGTTGGATTCTTTCCATTGACCTTCTTTATGATCAACCTTCTTCCACACACTTCTCTTGGTTTGTTTTCTCTTTTCATTGCAATGCACCATCAAGATTTAAAACTTCAATCTTGAAAAGTTGTTTAATGATTATATTTGCAATTTCTTTTCTAGCTACGACTTTATGTGATTCATTACAACATGAATATGAGTTCATGGTCCATATAGAACATCAGAAAGCTGGTAGCCCGTAAAGGATTCGGGAAAAGCCAACTTTTACGATTTGGGTAAAAGAAATACATTCTTCCAAGAAGAATCGACCTTCTAAGTAAAACGCTAGACAACGCTTGCACCCAACCTGTTTTTAGTCTATCTCCACCGCGTTTTTGACAGTGAAATTGGCATTTTTCATGGGTGATTCCATATTCTTTTTCAAAGTTTTACAACTTTTTTCTAATTTTTGTTTTCTTGTTAGCCTAGCATTTCTAGTATTTAAATAGGATATGACTTGAATTAGGGGATGATGTTCATTGATAAATATTTAAGTTTTTCTCAATTTCTATTGATTCATCTGTCGGTATTTGTCGAATCAAAGAAACCGTGTGAATCGGACGTGAGTTTCTCAAACATACTTCATCATCATGTATGGTAAACAGCTACATGAAACACCATATGATTATAGTAGTTGTAGTTTGTAATAGTACAAAGCCTAATTACGGAGAATCATCGATTTATTTCTATATATAAACTCTGCAAATCAATTGAAAGAGTGAAAATGACATCACAAAATGAATGGAAAATGAATATGCCTCAGAATCAATTGATGGCTTTTCCATTGATGTCAAGTCTTATTAGTCTTTGGGACATTGGTTTTGGCTATAAAAAATAAATATGGGGATATTTTTCACATCATAATTGGGTTGTTGGTTACTTCATTACTTTTCATATATAAGGTCTTGTTATAATATTTTATTACAAATTTTTTTCAGAAACATAATAAATCTAAAATTAAAAGCTAAAAATTAAGAAAATGACACCAACAAGATTCGAACTCAGTTCTGGGGTGGAAGAAAAGCATTGCAAACCAACTTTATCAAGGAAAACTTGTGTTTATAGTTTCAAAATATATACGATTGCACACAACAAATCTATATGACTCCTAAATTTTTTAACCTTTCACCAGAGGAATAATAAAGTGGCACCTGCCACCGGCTACACCAAGATGGGTCTTTCCCTAAACTCACTAAATGGTCACATTTACAAACCACAAAATGGGTGAATGTATAGGGAGTGTTTTTCTTCCAAACTAGTGTGGGAACCACGCGGTGTGCGGTAGTCTGAGTACTTGGGTTAATAATTCGGTGATTGTCTATATAAATATATGTTAGATGTTAATAGAATCATCAACAAATAGTATTCAAATAATTCAAAAAAGTTGTTAAAATCTAATTAGTTAAATTTTAATACACACGCACGCACACATGCACGCGCGCACACACACACACACACACACACACACACATATATATATATATATTAGTTATGTACCCATGCAATGCTGTAGGATGTCAAATTTTATTGAGGATCAGAAAACATTTCAAACGTCTCAATATATCTCACTCAAAATCAAGATCTAAGTGGATAAGATGTACATTAATGTGAGCCTTAACGTCATTGTTGTCATACTTGAACTTAACAAAGGAGGATAAGTTATAGCCTCGAAACAAAGATGAAGAGTATCTAAGTAGAGCTCCACAAATATGGAAAAGTCCATGGGTAGAAATGGGCATACACATAAGCAGCAAAAAAAATTCTATATTAAAGATATAAATACAATGGTCTCGTCTTAAACCAAATGAGCAGAAGCAAAAAATAAGTATCTACATTATTCATAATAGAAATGACCATCCCTAATATTTTTTTTCCAGAAACCTTTCTTTGATGCCGATGGGTCTAAAACTAGACCATGAAGTACCTTAATATCAGGCTTTGATTCTTGAGGAAACGCCCAACCCCATAAATACTTCCACTCATTCAATCCTGCAACAGATATATCCACTTTTCCTTACATTTCTTCCCAGATCTTTGGGGCAGTTGTCTCATGATGTACCTGCAGAAAACATCGATCTAAGTCGTACTCTAGAAATGCATGATAAATTGCAAGGAAATGCCCAATTGTAGTCAAGAGAAAGACTAATCCCTTGTAAAGGAAAAAAACCTACTTGGAGAAAGGCATAAAGCAACAAAGTTATGAGTGAGTGAAGTGCATATAATGGGCCTACATAACTTTCAACTAACCAGTTTACATAAATACATATGATAAATATAGATTACCAGGTTGTATTTTGCAAGGCTATCTGACCGTCAAGGAGCTCCAACCTTAATCTAACCCTGTTTTAGCAGGTTCCATAATGAGATCAGATCACAAACAGTTGAGAAGTTTGCACAAATTAAAAAAAAAAAACAACTAAAGTTAGTTCTGTATGATTTATTAAACACGCAAAGAGGCAGATTAATGGGTAGTTATAAACCTTGTTGCTCTTTCAAGAACTTTAGTCTGACATATTAACATAGCAATGTCTAAACAGAGACAAAACAAGCAGCGGCAGCATAGTCAGGACTAAACGGAGTGACCATTGACCCAGAGACTCAAATTGGCGACCTATGGGAGGACCCCAAGGCTTGACCTTTATTTGCCGATTGAGCCGACCCTCAAGGTTAGGATGCCATGTTTTTAGTTCTGCTTTTAAAGGATATGCATAACGAATACCAATGTGTTTTCAAAGCCATATTCATATAGTGAGTAGTGAAGGTGGAAATTTTTACTTCATATCGGGTTGCAGGTTGCACAAGGGGTGCAACTTGAACAACATGTCGTTATAATCGTAACCAAGAAAGTGAAAGTTCAAATTAGAACACCTCATACCAGATTCAGGTGATGAACATGCGTTAGAACCTTCATATATGCTAGAAATTCTCTTGATGCTTGCATATCCATCTTCTTTATATCAGCTCTCTGCAGAAGTTTGCTGTGAGAATTAGAAAACCGAAAAAACAAAATGCCAGACAGACATAAAGTCACATTATAATACTGGGTAATAGGTGCAGTTTTTATGGGTTGTCTTCACATCAACATGTGCCTCGATCAAAGACTGCCTTTCCTTGACAAGGGACCTCAGTTTATCCGTGGTGAAGTCCATACCCTGGATAAAAGAATGCAAAGTTAACATTAAAACACCCTTCACTATATAAAAGAACAAAAAACGATAAGATAAATATTGTATCATACCCAGAAATTGGTCAATATGCTTTTGCTGTAGCTGGTGTTAACATCACATTCATGCTTATTCAGATGCTTGATCTTGAAGCAGGTTTGATAAAATTTAATACTTCAATTCTTAGAAGTTAGAAGTGGATAATACTACTGCAAGCTCTTGAGTTTTAGCTTTCCAGATGTATTTCGGATCAATTCTGTTCCTTTCACTTTCTGCCAGCTTTTAACAGAACCTTTAGATTCGGGTTTTCGATCTTTTTATTTATTATTATGCTCTGTAGCACTTGTTGAGTAAATAGGTTGCTGAGTACATCTGGAAGTATGAAATTATAATGGTAACATATGTGCAATTTAAAATTTTGAGCCAAATCTAAACCAAACCAACCGGACGAACCCGGTGAATCCCACGTGAAGTGGGGTCTGGTTTGAAGCTATGACTAAATGAAATTATGGTGCTTTTCATGTGTTCTACTAAAGAATTGCACTTAAGCACTTGTACCTAATGAGTTGAATGTAATGGCTGCTGAGAGGTGCTGTGAATGACACGAGTAGAGGAAAAGTCTGAGTACTACTTTTTCTAAATGGCTGTTCATTTAGGAAGGATTAAGCAAGAAATATGTGGGCATCCCAGCAGAGTTTTCTGTGTTTTTTAAGTAGACACGAAAAGAACTTCATGATTTGTAAAAATGAGGGATGATTTTTGGTTAATCGAATTTATGTTTTGTTAATCGGAGTCTGGTGATATATTGGCATCCTTAAGAAGGTCGAGATTTGGGAGGATGTTACTAAACAAGTTTTTTCCTATTATAACTTTATAAGCAAGAATTGAATTTTGAAAGCTGCTTGTTATAAAGCTAATATTTCATCAAATAGAATGATAGCATCTACTATGTGCTCCATTATAAAAGTATACTATGCTTTTATTATAATCAAACATAGTACTAAAGTCATATGCAAGTGCAAATTGAACACTGGTACTATTTTATTTGTTGTAGTGCGATCATTATAAATTATTGATTCAATTGATTTTCATCCACAAGACACTTTTAGCTCTAGGTGATTCTTATACATAAAAACTATTATGTATTGATCTCCCTTGGAGTGCTTGTGGTCGTGCCTATATGAAGTGCAATTGTGGTTGTAATAGCATAATAGGTAGTTGTAATAATAATTAAGTCTCATGTGTAATGGATACAACTTCTTATTTTTCTATAGTTCTCCAATTTCCAATTAGAGGAAGTGTTGGGGTTATACTCACTTAGACACGAGGGGAGTGAAGCATATATCATAACATTATGTGGTCTCTATCTATGAGTCATATCCTCAAAAAGAAAGGCTACCATATACGAATATATGCTAGATGAAAGATCCAGAGAATAGTTAGAAAGGTAAAGTGTTTTCTCAAAAGAAATAAAAAAGGAAAGAGAGTTGATTATCTAATTTGGAAACATTAAGCTTACACATATATTAGCAAAGTAAACAGTCCTATATAGGAACAGTTTAATGATGTGAACAGGCATTGTTGAGATGATGGAATCATAGGATTTGTAGAAGTGTTGTACCCAAAATAGTTTCCTGGTGACTTTTTGGTTTACCAATAATGCAAATTGATGCCTATATTTGTCCATTTCTAAGTGAGGAACAAGGCTGTTTCTAAGTGAGGATCAAGGAAGTTATCAAATCAACCGTTAAAGAAGTTATCAAATCAATTCCAACATCACATAATTACATGCCAAAAGAAGTGGACAAACTTGAATAGATTAAAAGGGGTATAAACCCAAACCCTTTAGAAGGAATTCCCTCTGAGATTCAGACTAATAAAAAACAACATTGAGATTCAGACTCAAAAACAGTAAAACAAACCAAATAATTACTTGGAATATGGATTGAAGGTTGAAGGACAGATATCAAGACAGATTCGAGAACACAGTGTAAACCAAATATTCAAGAACCTAAAAAAAGATTCGAGAACACAGGTCAGAAGGTGACGATTGAAGAAGAAGACTGGAAGATTAAACAAAACCCTAAGCTAAACAGAACCCTAAACGTTTACCTGGAAGATTGAAGAAGACGATGGAAGCGATTGAAGAAGATGACGATTGAAGAAGAAGACGATGGAAGATGACGATGATTCGAGTGAATCGTCATCTTGGGGAGTGAGGAATGGCCTGAATCGTCGTCTTGGGAGCGAGGAATGGCCTGAATCATCGTCTTCGGGAGGGCGTCTTGGAGACTGCAGGAAAGTTAGGGTTTGTAATTATAAAAACTGGCACCCCTTTACTAGSGGTGTTGATTATTTGAAAGTTGTGCATCACTAAAATCTATAAACATCAAATTAATTTAATTAAATATTAGACCCTCTCAGTCTCCCTGGTCTTGTACCGCTTTCTATGTTAACAAACATTCTGAGCAGGAACGAGGTATCCCTCGTCTAGTTATTAATTATAAACCCCTTAACAAGGTTTTAAAATGGATYAGACACCCTATTCCCAACAAGAAGGATCTTCTTGATCGTCTTTTCCAAGCTCTCATCTTTTCCAAATTTGATTTAAAATCTGGTTACTGGCAAATCCAGATTGCTGAAAAAGACATTTATAAAACTGCTTTTAATGTTCCTATGGGACATTATGAATGGAAGGTCATGCCCTTTGGCTTAAAAAACGCACCTTCAGAATT